ATTCCAAGGAATGTAATACAGGAAGTCTAGTTGTTACAACTTTTTGCAGTGAACTGTAATCTATATGATTCAAATTAATGTAATTCAGAAAAACCTAGTTGTTTAAAATCTTGCAGTGAAATGTAATTTACATGATTCCAAGGAATGTAATACAGGAAGTCTAGTTGTTACAACTTTTTGCAGTGAACTGTAATCTATATGATTCAAGTTAATGTAATATAGAAAAATCCAGTTGTTTAAAATCTTGCAGTGAAAAGTAATTTACATGATTCCAAGAAATGTAATTCAGAAAGTCTAGTTGTTACAACTTTTTGCAGTGAACTGTAATCTATATGATTCAAGTTAATGTAATTCAGAAAAATCTTGCAGTAAAATGTAATCTATATGATTCAAATTAATGTAATTCAGAAAAATCTTGCAGTGAAATGTAATTTCTATGATTCCAAGAAATGTAATTCAGAAAGTCTAGTTGTTATAAGTTTTACAGTAATCTATATTATTCAAGTTAATGTAATTCAGAAAAATCCAGTTGTTTAAAATCTTGCAGTGAAATGTAATTTACATGATTCCGAGGAATCTAATACAGGAAGTCTAGTTGTTCCGTATTACATTTCTATAAACGCTAAGTTATGCATTAATGGTAGTATATAAATTTTTTGTTTTCATTGTTGATAAAACTTTTTTTTATCTCTAACTTTTATTTGTTATGAAAATAGTTATTTTTATGATGTAACAGAATAAATACCTGAATGGATTTCATGCTTGTCATGGTGTTTTTGTAAAAAAAATTAAAACTTTAAAAATGTTGATATGTTTTTTCCATATTCCTGAAGGCATATGTGTTTCTTGATTTTTTTATATTGTGTTTATGTCCTTCTATTTAAGTATTGCAGTTTGTGGAACAAAATTTATTTTGATAAATGTTTTGTTTTTGTATGCTTCAAGTCATTCATGTTTGCACAACTTGTTTACCGTCTAGTCATTTGGATATGGTCATTCATACATGACCTTTTCTCTTCATTGTTTTTTGTAAGTTGTGAAATCTTTATAAAAGTTGGCTCCTAACTTTTTGCTTTAACAAGATAAGTTTTGAACAAATTTTACAAACTGAAAATCAGTTATTATAAAACTCCAAATTTATTAGATAAAACAACTTACTAAAAACTTATTACTGAGCACCAAAAATAATAATAAACACTAAACTACTAAAGTACAATAGTCACAGATATCTTCTCCTTACTAGTAACTCTTTTTAAATAAGTGGTGTTTTGTGATTGTTAAGATAAATGCATTAGATTCAACCAGTTGAGATTAGCTCAACTAAACAGAAGCACTTCTTATAACAGACATCCAGTTTAAATATTAAATGTCCTACAAAACAAAAAAGTAGCTTAGCATGTCCTACAAAATACAAACAATTAGCTTAGCATGTTTACCAAATACAAAAAAACTAGCTTAGCGTGTCCTACATATTATAAACAGCAAGCTTAGCATGTCCTACTTAATATAAACAGCAAGCTTAGCATGTCCTACCAAATATAAACAACTATCTTAGCATATCTTACCAAATACGAAAAAGTGTTGGACTTTGTAAGTGTATGTAGCATAACTTAATATTCTTGTCAATTCTTGAAAAGTAAGATTAGATAAGGGCTGAAATTTTTGGCCCAGTAATTGCTAGTGATTTCTGCCTGGTAAGTAAGGTTAAAATCTCAGGTGGCTGCATTTCACATTTTTTTATGGAAAGATTAACAAAATTTACAGATTTGGTTAAACAAAAACAGTTATATGGTGTGAGATTTCTATTCATAACTTTAGTCAATTAATGTTTTGTGTTCTATTGATAGAGAAACCTTTTTATATGTATATTTGATAAACTTGTGTAAAACTTTGTGAAGAGGAAATAAAAAATACATGCTTGCTTCCAAAAATGAAATTGCAACACTATTTTCTAAACACATTTTACTGAAAGAGAGAAAGGGTTTTAAATAATTTCATCCACTTAAAATGGGAAAGTTTTTGATTAAAACGTAAATTTCAGTTGTTTAATGTGTCCTCATAAGAATGTTATTTTATGATCCTTTCCTTCTAATGTAAGAGTTACATAAAAATTACAAATACATTACCACAGATCCTTATGTTACATCTCAGATCGTTTGTTAATTTCCGGTACAAATTTTTCCCAAGGAACTTCATTAAATAAAACTAGTTTATTCTTTCTCAATACAACTTTGCAATACACAGAATTTCCACAGTCATTTTAACTTAAACACACGCTATAATTCACAATAATTAACGCACTTTACTTACGGGCACTACTGCTCACTTGATTCAATTATTTGTCTCTATATCTCTCTTCAATTTGATATATATATGCCGTCACCCTTTATCTCCGATTTATTTGCCGGGGGTATATACAAAAATAGAGGGCGTCTGGCAAACACTAGAGTTGCCAAGAACAGTCATGATCTATCTAGAAATTCGTGACAATTTACCAGCGTCACGTGACCGCTGTCGTAGCACTGCCCCTTCCTTTGTGTTGTTCATCCCGAACAATAGCCACTTACATTAAACCAAAA